ATTCAAAACATTGATCATTTCTCTCCAAGTAGAGTTTGTAGGAATAACTATTCTTCTAGTGTCAAATCAACAGTTATTCTAACAGATACTCCAACCCAAGTAGTTTTTCAAGATATCAGACTCATCATTGTAATCTGTTTCACAATGATCCTCTTGTTGGTTCAGATAATCATTCTATAAAGGTGAAAATTCTTTGAAGAAGAAAATCAACTACAAATGACCATGTTGGAAAAAAGTCACATAAATCTCCTATAGTTGATACAAAGTCATTTGTTTCTAAGACTAGTTTGCCCTATTTTGTCAAGTCTATCAATAAGCTACAGTCTGAGCCAAGAAAAGCTATGTTGTTCAACTTGTGGATCAAATGATTATATCAATCAGAAGTATGTGAATAATTGGTATGGTACATATAATATCTCCAATTCCCTATTTAATGGTTCTAAAGCTAACCTCCGAGGACCTAATAAAGCTTGGTACCAAAATCTTTCTAATCTGTTTTGTGCATCCTTATTCAACATATTCATATGACATGACTAATCAATCAAAATGCTATGCTACTTTTGAGGGAGAGTACCATGTTTTGTAAGTGAATAAATTTTAATTTTCAAAAGAACGATGGTAGTTCAATTCAAGAAACTTACTTGTGTTTTTTTATTTTCCTATTTCAAATCAATCTTTGAATTTCCATGTGTTATATCTTATTGACTTAGTTATTTCCACGTATCGTATATTCATTGAAATTTTTGGTAGAAATACACTTGCTTGAATTCTCATTGCTTATATTCAATTCATTTCATATAATAATTATCTGAAAAAATAATTGTGACTTGTTCTTCACAATTAAACATTCTATCAATGAGTTTTTGTTTGTAAACACTCAACGTACTAAGTCATTTTGTTTAACAATTGAATTTGTTTCTTTGACAATTCTAAACAAATATTTTTCATGTTTAAGTTTTTGAATACTTCAATTCAGAACTTGTACTTCATTGATTTGACTTATGAATACATCAGTTCAAGACGCATTCTTCATTGTTTTTCCTGAGATTTAAAGTATATATCTGAACGTGTAATATTTTTTAAGTGCTAAGAATATAGAAGTTTCAATGGTCAATTAGAACCAAAATGACCTACCCATGAAACATATCCCAAGGTTAGATAATTTTTTTGAAAGGGAGTGTGTGTTGATCCAAACTCTCTCAGTGATTTGATGATGACCCTTTACATTTAGTGAAAAATACTTAGTTCTGTTTCTATTCAGTTTCAACAATCATCTATGAGTCTGTTCAGTGATCGCTGAACTGTATTATAAACTTCTCCAAAGAACAAGTATTCCTCAAAGACAAAACTCACACCAAAGGAACCTTCAGCAATACCGAAGATGTAGCTGAAGATAGAGGCAGCAGTTCGTGATCTGAAGCGGATTCAGTGATAACAAACATGTCTAAATCTAAGTCTGAAATCTGACCAAGACTCAGCAAATACTGAAGAAACTCTAGAGTTGAATCAATATAACGATTAAATGAATCTTGTTTTACAAGATTAGTTTTTGTCTTATCCTCTTGCACAAAAAGGAGAACCTCATACCTCACACTGAAAAGCACATGTTTAGAGTTACTCTATTGTCTGCAAACGTGATTACCTACTTTGTGAAATACAACTGTTCATATGCAACCAAAAGGCTGCATATTTGAAGACAAAGGACAAGCTTTCCACTAGAAGTTTACTATGTGGTTTGTACCCTCTGACTTGCACTAAGTTTACCATGTGGATGACACATCATTTTGAGCTCGTGACATAAAAAATTCCTTTCAAAATTTTGTAATGGTTTCTTCATTTTCCTTAATTTAGAGTATGCTTTTCATCTTTCTCTTTAAAAATTAAAAGATAACCATTTCAAAAAATTGTTCTTATTAAATTTGTATGCAAATTAAATATCGTAGTGTAAAATATTTTCATGTTTTGTTTGTAAAAAAAACCTAACACTTCTTACTTTCTTTGTTAAAAAAATACATATTTTTAAAAAGATGTTAGTGAGATAGATCGTGATTTACAAATCTTCATATTATTGTTACATTCATTAAACTTATTATAGCACTTTTAATTGAACGCTTTATAATTTAATCATATAAATTTAAATCTTATAAAATATTATATTACTATGTTCAGACATTTTAAGCATCAGATAAATCTAATTTTGGTTTGTATTGTTTTAGTGGGGTTCGTAAGTGGGTTATGTCTAGTTAAAGATGTTACCATTTATATACTTAACGAGTTTTAGGGTTAAAACTAAAAACAATCAAAACACAACGACCAACTGCGTAATTCATTCAATATCGAACTGTTCATTAATTTCTTTTTTAAGAATCATTAAATAATTAAAATATTTAGTTGTGAAAATTTTACTTCTATTGATACTATGTGTAACAACTATCCAAAATAATCAATTAATATGACAATTTTTTTTTTCAAAACATCATTGTGACAAATTATTTAAAGTTCATATATTTGGTTACAGTAATTAGTAATTTTACCAAGTCACATACATATAAAGGCGGTAAATGTGAGAAACTCATAGCTTTTACAAATTTAATATGAAATGTAAAATATATCCATTAAACCTAAAATTGTACTACCTAGTTTAATATAATAAAATATATTTTTATTATATTTTTATTATATTAGTATTATAATCAAGTAATTTTTCAACATATTTCAAATAGAGTATTAGAAATAAAAAATTCAAAAAATTACATTAGACTCCAAGAAATATCCAATTTTAACATTAAATATATACTATATTATAATGCATTTGACAAAAACTCTTAAAAACCGGTTTTTATGCATGAAGTACTGTTTATTGATACATATTACTTAAAATTTAATATTACAAGTAAATTGTGTGTAACTACTACTTATTAAAGTTCCATGTTTGAACTCATGTAACTAACTGCGGATAAACATAATCAAATAGAGGATAAACATCTCATTTTAAAATATAAAAAAGATAATTATTGAGTTATAACAAAATAATTAATTATTATATTTATAAAAAATTATATTATTAAACCAAATATTAATTAATTCGTTTTTAAATTTTAATAATAATTTGAATAAAAAAATTGGATAAAAATTAAGATACTAGCATTTTATGCATGAATTAAAGAAATCACTTAATTACAATATGTAAAGAATGATGTACAAGGTGTTAATGCATGATTTTAAAATAATCCTAAAAAACCAAGTTTCGTATATTCACAATATTCTTTATCTTCTCCAGAGTTTTCAGTTTCCTTTTAAGAAATCCATTGACCAAAACCTAGACTTTTCCAAAATTCAAAATTCAAAGACCTTATGTTCCCAGATTGATAATTTCCGCTCCAAAAAACGATAATTCAGCTCCCAAAAGTTTCCTCTTCTAGCTCTTGTGATTGAGCTTTGATGGCGAACTCACTTTTAGTCTCCACGATTTCTATCAAATCACGACTACCTTCTTCATCGCTCTCTCACTCTCTCCATATGAACGTTTTGAACAATATCTCAATGAATTTCTTACAAATGATTTTATTTTCCAATTTATTCAAACATAATTTTGAATGCCATTTTGTAAATTACAAGTGTAGGGAAAAAAAACCACCATGCCTACGTTAGCATTTAAAATCTAGGAACAACAAATGTTACGACATCGAAAATATCGTAATCCCGCAATTCCAATTCACATAATATTCAAAACAAACCTTTTTTCTTTTGGCTTGGTCATTCTATAACAATCATGTGTGTATTTGTTGTAATGTTCAATCTATATTCTCGCTTACATTTATATAAAATTTATATCGACAGCATTGCACAGGTACACAACTAGTATATATACACACACACACATATATATATATATATATATATATAGGGAATGTTTCATCTATAAAGCATCCGGTTCTAACAATCTATATAAACCATAATGAATTATAGAAAAAAAAATCTAACGAGTAAATTACAGATTTGGTCCATGTGGTTATATAAAAATTTGGATTGATCCCTCAAACAAAATAATTACAACTATGATTATTATGGTTTCATTTTTGTTATGGATTGGGTCTCTTTATCTAACACCATTAATCTTATTTCCATTAAAGGGGGGTAATATTGTCTTTTCCATTTTCACTAATTTAATTAAAAACAAAGATAATATAGTTTTCTACTATTATTTATATAGAAATATACAAATATTTTTTTAAAATCGTATAGAGTATCTACAGTACATCGTTGTTCCCTCCCCCAAGAACCGCCAGCGACCCTCCCTTATCTTCGACGCCCAACACCTCAACTTCTCCGGTGAATCACCAACGCCTAACAGAACCTCTACACCCATCTCCTCTTCCTAAACCCCTTCTCCCTCTCCCTCTCCCTCTCCCCCTCCTTCTGTTGCTTCATCGACCACACAAACAAGGGCACTCCCACCCACCCTGTGCCACCACCTGCACATCCGATCATCGACCACCCTATAGTTTTGGTTTTCTTTAATTTATATCCATTTTATAAAAGTGCTTATCGTGATAAGAGTCGTCGTCCTCACTTCCCGAGTAAGACTATTGGTCCTTGTCTTATTCTTACCAGTAAGTTTCTTCATCCAGTAAAATAATGTGACTTGGTAAGTACTTACTCGGTTAAATGTCTTGTAAACGGCCCCTAAGCGTTTGGTAAGAGTCTTTTCCCTACTTACCGGGTAAGATTCTCGTCCATGCTATGCCTCTTACCAGATAAGATTATCGGTCATTTCCATGCCCACCCGGTAAGTGTTTGGTAAACGACCCCACAAGGTTATGCAAAGCACCAAATCGATGAAGATAATGAGAAGATGTTACACATATAAATACAGTTTGATCGAAAGAGAATTCTTACGACAAAGCCTTCACCGGAAGGCACCACCATCTCCAAGATGACCATAACTGTTGGGGATTTTCCTGGCTCTTACGTTCTGGGGCCGATGTAATTAGTCACGGTTAACAAAAACAAATGAGTAACTGATCAAATTTTCAAGAATAAAACTTTGATCGTCTTTTTCAACCATACCAACATCAAAAATTTCAACACAAAGGCATCGATTCAAGATCCAAAAACCGAAAAATAACAGAAAGACGAAGCTATCTACATTCAGCAGGCATACCAGGGTCTATGCCTGTTTCTATCGACCATCGGCTGAAGTAAACGAATCCGCAAATCCAGTCGGCCGTGCCGGAATACTACTCTTGCTATCATCAAGATCCACATAGCTGCTGCTGTAATCCTTCCCTTCAGCTTCTTGCCACCCTTTGACCATTTGAGTCAATGGAAGACTATAATCAATACCACAATATTCCTCGGCCTCATTCTCCATTGGTTTCCATTTCTCCACAAGTGGGGACAGCACATTCACCGCGTGCCCCATATCTGGTCGTTGGTTCGGCTCTCTAGCCGTACAATGGCCTGCCAGCTCGGCTATTATGGAGATGGTCTCGAAGGTTTCTTCATTTGCGTTAAGAGCAGGGTCTACGGCTGCCATTAGTTTCTCTTTGTCTGATCTAATGCTCCAAAACCATGCTGCTAAATACTGGCTTTCCTCGGGTCGGTCTTCATCCAACGCCATTAAACCGGTTAATAGCTCCATAAGAACAACACCATAGCTGAAAACATCAGCCTTTGTGGTAATCTTACCTGTCACTGAAATCAGATGGCAAGAGTTGAATGACTCATATAAAGTAAATAAAATTTGTTCATTTCAAGTTTCCATTAGATTTTATGCATCTTTAATAGTAAAAATCTTCTCTTTCTATGTATCCCTTTGATGCATCCAAATTACCATTATAACAAAATTGGCTTTTTATAAGATGCCAAATATGTCTAAATGTTCTAATAAACTGCTTATAAGACCAAACACTTGTCCATCTTTTATCACTTAAAAGTATTGCAATAGTATTTACCGACACTTTTGAGAAATGTACAATGAATACATATTTTTTATGATAATTTTTCAAGTAATGTACTGCTACATAAAAGAAGAAAGTTTATTTCAAAAGTCTCCTAAAAAACTTGTTATGACGCCCAAAAACATTTTATCAACTTATCATAGCAACTTCCGGCATCTCTAACCCAACCATTAAAAAGAACACTAAAAATGATGGGTCCTTTGAACACTAAAAAAATCAAACTCCACCCACACACTAAAAAAAACTGAAAACTTCTTTAATATTATTATAATAATAACAAAATAATATACGTATTTATTATTATATTATTTTACTAAAAATTAATAATTACAGTATATAATTAATTTTTATATCACTTGAATTTTAAAATAATTTATTTAATGAAACATTGTTAAAATTAAAATGACAATTGTTAATTAATAAATATTACTTTAAAAACAAATTAAATTATAATAGTTCAATTTTAGAAGATAACATGTATCCAAAAGTAAATATAAAATCATTCATATTTTAGTTCTTACTAATTTTTCACTTTTTAATAAAACAAATTAATTATTTAAATATAATTTATAATTTACAAAAACAAAGTAACTAAATTATTAAACTATTAATCTATATATAATTATAAAAGTAAAATAAAATATTAATATTTAATTATGGAGGATAAAAGTTAATAAAGTATTAATATTTAATTATAGAGGCTTACTTTATTCATCTCCAACTCCAAGTATTGGGTTAACAATGTTATGACCTCCCATTTTTTTTTAAGTGTTTTAGTGTTGGATTGGAGACGAAAATACCTCTATTTTTTTTTATTTTTTTTTAGTTTTGGGTTGAAATGTTCTTAAAGGACGCTCATCAACGTGTTTTATCAACTTATTGTACATTTTTACATAGGACACCCACAAAATGTTTTATCAGCATACTGTAACATCTTTATATAGAATGTACAATTGTTTGGTTTGATAAACTTAAAACAATCTATTACGATATCTAGACATATTTGACGTCTTATAAAGCAAATAAAGGAACATAATGCAAGATAAGAAATAAACATGAAAGGTATAGTTACCGGCATATTCAGGGGCAAGGTATCCAAACGTCCCAGCTAGCCGAGTAATCACGGACTTCGCCCCATCAGGAGCGAGCTTGACCAATCCAAAGTCCGAAACCTTGGCTTTAAAATCATCACCAAGTAAGATATTAGACGATTTAAGGTCTCGGTGTATGAAGCTTTGATGAGCCAGATTGTGAAGATAATCCATGGCTCGAGCCACGTCCAACGCAATATTCAGCCTCCTCTTCCACGAAAGCGGTTCCAATTTGAAGCTTTTCCAGTGAAAAAGATGCCTACTCAATGCTCCTTGAGGCATATACTCGTAAACAAGAAGTCTTTCGGGTCCTTCAGTCGAATACCCTAAAAGAGACACCAAATGCCGATGGCGGACCTTTGAAAGCACCGCAATTTCCGCCTCAAATTCATCCAAAGCCTTGTTGCTAATCACACCAGACTCCATTCTTTTCACTGCTATTTTCGTACCATCGTCTAATTGGCCCTTGTAAACTACCCCAAAACCGCCACGCCCGAGCTCATTCTCAGGGGCGAAGTTTTTCGTCACGTTTCGTAGAACTTGAACCGAAATTATCAGATTTCCAGACTCTATAACATGGGATTCACCCGTGCGACTCCACAGTTGGCTACCAGAACCACTGCCAACACTTGTCACCGTGTCATTCGCAATCGCGATCTTGATTGCATTATCTGAATCAGAAGGGTCACGTGGATGGATAACGAGCGAGCTCGGTGCTTGGTGCGAGTTGACTTTCTTCTTTTTACATAAGTAGATACACAAAGACACAACTAAAAGGACTAAACTAACAACAGCCGCAACAGAAGCAACGATTGCCACTAAATTAGATTTCTTTGAACGTTTACTGCTGATAGGCGCAACGATAGTATCAGGATTCCTGGTACTAGGATTCCTGGTACTAGGATTCCTGGTACTAGGATTCCTGGTACTAGTATTCGTCCCCAAACCTATTGGAGGTGAAGATTGGTGAGTATCGGCTGGCGATCCAGTGGGTGGACTGCTCTTAGGAGAGGGGGTTCTTGGTGGATCCGATTGAAACAATGGATTTCCAGTTAAATCAAGTTTCATAGAGGGATTAAATTTCGGTTGAGGAGGGGAAAGATCATTGTTGCTTAAATCCAAGAAAGTCAAAGATTTCAAGTTTGTCCAGTTCGATGGAATCACACTTGTTAACTTGTTCGACCCAAGATCGATTCGAGTCAGAGAACCAAGATTCGCAATCGAAGGGCTCAAAGTTCCAGAAAGATTGAACTTTGGCAAGTGAAGTGAGTTCACCTCCTGGCCAATGCAGCTCAAACCCAACCAAGGACCTTCACACGGATCATTACCAGACCAAGTGGAAACCAGCCTTGATGGGTAATTTAAATCGTCCAAAAAACCCAAGAGTGCGGTCACTTGTGGAGCACAAGGAACACCCGGATCCGGTTGACAAAATTGGTTGGATGAATAAGTAAAGTTGGAAGCTTTGAATTTGGGTACAGGACCCATAAACTGATTATTGTTCAAATCCAAATTATCCAAGCTGAGAGTAGCTAAGCCATCAGGAACTAAGCCCACAAGATCATTGCTGTTGACGTTAAAATCTTTCAGTTGAGTTAAACCACTGATACTTTGAGGAATTCTTCCTGAAAAATGATTCCCATGAAGCCATAAACTGGTGAGTGAGGTCATAGTTCCAATAACATCAATGGGACCAGTCATTCCACCTCCAGATTGCCCATTCAGCCACAGAGTTCGGAGAAGAGATTCGTTAAATGTGGCCGGAATACCACCGGAAATTCGATTCATGGACAACTTCAAATCCCCAAGAGACGAAAAAGTTCCAAGAAAATCAGGCAAAGGGCCAGCCAAATTACAACTCATCAATGAAAGATTCTGCAATTGGGCCGAATTCTGAAGATCAATGGGAAGTGACCAACCAGTAGTGGTATTAAGAGGGTTGCTATCCAAAGCCAAAACCTCTAAACTATCGAGGCCATGAAAGAAATCTGAAGGAATTGTATCAAACTGATTATAATCAAGATATGCCCACCTCAATCCAGATAACCCATTTAAAGATGGTAAAGGACCAGTGAATTGGTTCCTTTGAAGACCTAGATTGGTGAGCATTGACAATTGATTCAAATTACTTGGCAAAGGACCCTTCAAGTTCATATTCTGAACCTGAATCTGAGTAACCCTATTTCTAGAACAAAATACGTGAGGCCAACTTGGGGGTCCACAAGGATCATCATCATCTCCACTGTCAGGCCATTTCAAGAGCTCTGGATTCTTTAGCCCTTTTCTAAACTGATTGAGGATGGCTAAATCACCAGGATCTGTAGCACTATAAACAAGAGAAACAAGATAGGGATAAAAGAAAGTTACTGTTACAAGAAGCTTCATCAGATGATGGTAATGATGATGATGATGATGATGATGATGATGATGATCCTCCATGAAAGCAAGAAGCATTGAGGTTTAATGGTGACATATGAAGAATCCCATATGAGATTTTGGAAGAATTTTTCAGAAAGAAAACAAGGAAATCTTTAACAAAGAGAAGACCTGAAGGATTCTTGAAGTAGTTGCAGAGCATAGACACATCATCAGTACAGTCTTGAAGAAAAGATAGGATATGAGCATATGAAGGTGGATGCTTATGATTATAAAATTCTATAAATAATAACACAAATACAAATACGTGTAATGTGGTAGGATTCCCAACTCTAATTAATGTTCGTATTTACTGAAAAATCACCCATTTAATATCAAACATTAATAAAATAAAGACAAAAAACAAAGTTACATTACATGTGGTGTGTGGTATAGAAATAAGTGGTGTTCGTAGGTCCACTCTTGAAATCCGTGAGTGGTGGAAATTGTTAACGTTTTAAAAAAGGTCGGGTCTTAATTCTATTAAGATCTGGGATCAGCTTTCTTTAATTAAATAAATCGTTCCCAAAAACTACATTTTGTTTTATCAGTAAACAACAAAATCAACAATTTTGATGAATAATTGATTTTAAATACGTGATCACTCTTCTGGAATTTGTGTTATTAGGATTATAATTTAAATTATGTGATGTAAATATTATCGGTGCAAAGAAAAAGAAAGATTAATAATTAATTGGGAAATTAAAGTAAGACGATCCCATCATTTAGTTGGGATTAATGATAATTAATACTCACTTATTGTATTAATTCCATAAATGATGCTCTGACATAATCATCGGTCTATATCGTGCCTCTCCACCGCAGCACACCAACAGTTTTTAATTTCGGTAAAATGAGAAAAGAAATTTCTTAATTCTTAAAAAAACTATTTTAAAGATTTTTTATATTAATCATATTTTTGAAAAATTATTATACCATCAAATTTCCACCATATTAGAAAAAATATTGTTTTAAATTTCAGCATTTAATTCGTAGTTACAAT